TGTATAAGGATTATTCTTTATATTATTCATGTTGTCTTGTATTCCTGTATGGACTGCATCAGTAGAGGATAAACCAGTTTTGTTGTATACAAGATATACAATGACAATAAAGGCTTTGAATTTGAATTTAATTAGACCTAAAGATTTTCATCAGTTGATATATGTACTGGATGATCATTCTTCTGTCTTGTAAAAACAGGTGGGATAATTTTCATAATGCTAAGAAAATAAAATATACCATAATACGTGGTTTATAGTATAGTCTATAACTAATCAGTTGTTTCTAAGCTTTTGGGATGCTGCTAGTTTTTGTCGTGCTTTTTATAATCTTAAATGTTTATGTGAAGCCTCATGATATATGATATATAGAGTGGCTATACAAGTTGTTGCCATTTGTTTTTGCATTTTTAATAAATATCTTCCAGTTGCTTATATTTCCTTTGAGTTCTTAATATTTAAAGTGTCACATTAAGAACTTACTTCAGTATTACAAAGGTTCAAGTTGATTCTATAAATGTCACATCCATCAGCTATTGAAAATGCAAATTGGGTTTTGCTTCACCTTTTCTTGGTAACATTTATTAAATTTCAATTGAGCAACATAGGGAATTAGCATTTTCAATTCTGGGAAAGGATTGCAAAAACCTAATGTTTGTCTTGTTTTAATATATATTTCTTGAAATTCTCTTCCAGAAAGAAAGTATGCTCACCTAAAGACCTGCTGAGTATTGAACTTCAGCCCTACTTTATTTGTTATTTGTTACATTTTGCATTTTTCCCACAGTATTATTTTATTATTTATTTGTTAAATGTATTTGCTGCCTATTTTGCCTTGAGGCTAACTCTAGGCGGCTTACAACAATTTAAATTTTTTTAAAGGTGTTAAACTTGTAAAATTATTTGGCATTTTGGTGACTTAAATGTTTAAGTTGATGAGCCAAAGAGCCTCAAATGAAATAATTGAGGAAATTCAAAAGACTAGATTATCATGCACAACTTTGAAGCTCCAGCATACTTTTCAATATTTAGGGTAGCTTTATTTTGAATACAGTAGTAACAAATCTCACTAATTTAGACCATACCTTCATGATAGGTATTCTTATTTGTTTTATTAGGAGTTTAACATAATGGGGTGACCCCCTATTTACTTTATGGACTGGTCTGTTCCACTGTGCTGTGAATAGCGAAGCCTATTCAGTCATTCATCAACAGAAATATTTTAAACCCCAGATAATAATACAATAATAAGCAGGCCTTGTGTTAGAGTTAATAGCATTGCTATCATATGATCATCATATTGTCTCATGCAAGATATTTTAAAACAAGCAAGAGCAAAATTTCATCTCTTTAGAAACAGAGCAGGAAAGAAACCAGTTTGAAAACAGTATTAGAATAGTCTTCCAATAGTGATGAAATATCTTGCATCAATAGATTAATACATCAGATAATACATATATAATAAATACAGTACATTAAACATAGTCTTTGACTTACTACTATTTTTTCAGCAACAGTTTAACACTATTATGTTAAACAGTATAACATTATTATGAAAGTATGATGAATATGACCAATCCTCTGAGTTCTTTCCATTGCAACATTCGCATGGTGCTTGGCAACTGTCTTGCATTTGCAATGTGTTGCAATCCTCTGCAATCATGTGATATCATGCCATCCACAGCCTTCCCTGTCAGCTTCCCTAGAAAGTCAATGGTAAACTGGCAGGGAAGGTCACAATTTGTTGTAATAAATCCCTCCCTGAATCTCTCTGCTCTTTTCTCTCGCCCTTGTGCACCCTCCTCAATTCTCACTACATCTCCCTTGCATCCCCCATACACTCTCCCTGAGCCTTGCCATGGCTCCCTCATGCTATCCTCTCACACACTCCCTTGCATTTTCCTCCACCTTCCACCCAGCATTTCCCATTTATCTGCCTGCCAGCCTCATTGTTAATTGCCCGGGCCTTGCAACTTTCTGCCAGTTTCTCCATTAACTTAGTTGTGGAAAGTCAGCAGGAAATTGTCTCACCTAACTATTGTGGCATTCAGTTTACAACTGCATTGCTTTTTTAAAAAAAAAAAAAAATTATTTTGAGTTTTCATGAAACAAAACATAAATAAAACATATTTTTTAGTGAACAGCATGGTTCCAGGTTTTTACATCTCTGTACAAATACAATCCCAGTTACATATTCATTTTTCATATTTAAATTCATATCATTACCTCTACTTTATATATTCTATATTAATTTTTTCTCAAATACTTCCCTCAGGCTTATTTCATAGCTTTCCCATTCATTTAGTCTATTTCATTTCCCTTTCAAAAATTTTCATATCTTCCTAATAATTGTACTTTTATCTGTCCTGTTTACAATTTCATCATATATTCTTATTTTATCATTTCCACGAAATACCTCCTCATTTCAAACATTACAAAACAAGGTTTCCCCTTTAGTTACCAACTAGAGTATGCCACCTTCATATTATTTTCCTTTCAAATCCCATTAATCTTTCAACTTTTAAATTGTCCCCTTAAACATTTATAACATTCAACTCCTAATAGCTATATTATAATATATATCACTTTTCAGTTGGATTCCGTATGGTACCTTCCCCTTAAAATACCTCCCATACACTTTAAACTTCAAAATAAGAAAAAGAAATTAATCTATTCAAATTCATCTTAGAAACTGATATTGATCTCAATATAAACATTCTCATAATTCATTTCAACTATATAGGTTATTAAGAATAATTAATATACATATTTTCATACATCTCTTTTTCCCTTATAGTCTTTTTACAATAATTAGATTCCATTTATTAACTAGTAAATTTCTCATATTTTTCTCCCTTTCATCTTTATTTCATTTATCCCTATATTTAATTTAACTGTTAACAAGCATTCCATTAATAAACAATACCAGCTTCAACCTTCCACATATATTTTCCTATTTTCTACATAGTTTATTATTTGTAATGTATTTATACTATCCCTTGTCACCTTGCAGAATCCTCTCTCTTAGCTTTTTTTTAACCATTGTCTCTGTGTCTTTTAAATAAAACATTTCCTTTTATTTTTTTTAGGTTTCAATTGTTCTTTACTTCCTGATTCTGTTTCTTGTAATTTCTTTTACCCTTTATTTTTCCCCTCCTTTTCTCACTCCAGTTTTTGTCCCCCTCCCTTTTTAAAGCTTCCTTCTGTAATCCTCTTTTCTACTTCTTCCTTACATTTTGTTTAGTTTTCAAACTGTTCTCTTTTCTAATTACTTCCTCTAATCCCCAAGTTTTAATTCCCTTTTTCCCCCCTTTTTGTTTCAACCCTCGTTGTTCCATTTGTTTGTTAAAGATGGCCTCTTCTTTATTCAGCTCTTCATCTTCTGGTACTCCTTGTTGTTCCTCATGTTCTAAAACCACCATTTCTAAAAATTGTAACGCAAATCCAAACAATTCCCCTTTCTTTTGCAGCTTTTTTTTCATTTTTTAAAATTCCATTTTCAGTTCCAGAAAAAGCTCTGCCATCTTTAAACACTTCTAACCAGCACTTTAAAGCAACCAAAATATAAAAATTATTTCCCACAGTTATTTTTAATTAGTTCATCTAGCAATCCAATATCCAAAATTTCCAAAATCACCAGATAATCCCAGAACAGTTTATTCTTACTTCTTTCTTTGTTTCAAAGTTCAATGCTTCACTTTCACTTTCTGGAGGCTCTATTTTATTGTAGCAAGGTTTCACTTACTTTGTATCCTTTAAAGATCCTTTAAAAATTCACAATTAATTCCTTTTACCACCAGGTGGCACTCTGCTATGTCCAAATTCCACCCTTTTTCTTCCGCTTTTTTTTGTCTTTAATGGCTTTTAAGTTTCAAAATTCTTTATTTTTCCTTTGACACATTCAAGTTCAGCTTTAGATTTGCCTATTTAGTGTCAAGATCGTTTTGAGCAAATATCTTCAACAGGCTTCTCTTCTGAAGTTCAAAGCCACTTTCAGCTCTCAAATTTCCCCCTTTCCCCCTCTCTTTTCTACCACCACTTTAAAAGTCTTTCTTTAAAATTCTTGATTATTTTAATTCTGGGGTACCTTGTATTTAGATATTACTACTGCTTAGCCCGGTCATTCAAACTGTCCTCTTTTTCTCCACTCCTGCACCCTGTTGTTCGATCTTCGGGGTGGCCATCTTGACCACCACTACTGCTACCTTCGAAGAGGAGTAAATGCCAAGCCAAGGAGGGGAGATGTGGCTCCCCTCAACCCAGCTAGCAGTCTCCCCCTTCTTCGCCACCTCTACGGAGTGGCCTCAGCCCCAAATCCAGTAGATCGGGGCCCTCTGGCAGAGAGCACAAACCGAAACTGCAGACGATCGCGGATTTTGGTCCGTTGCCGAAGAAGCCTAACCAGAAGGTGGTTTGCTTAGAAACGGGTTTCGGTCTCAAGTGTTATCGTAAGTCGAGAACTACCTATATCCTTTTTAGATGGTACAATAATTTTAAATACTTCAGCATTGTGAAATGTGACCTATTTTTCTGTATATGTAAATCAGAGCCTGATATAATCAAGCTTTCAGTGATAGGCCACCACTTAAAATACACAAAGAGTGTTCTATCACATACATTATCTGTAACTGATAATACTGTGCCTATTTATATCCTCCGAATATGATAAAATACTCCTGTGATGCTAAAAGCAAATTAAAATAACCTGTGTAGGTGAACAAGGCTTGAAATTAATGTACCATGTGCTCTAATACCACTGGTGTACAAAGGTTTGTACTTCCTCTACATTCATTGTTTACAATTTGCCATTGATAAATTAATCTTTTTTTCTTCCAAAAATAGCATATACATACACTTTAATATTAGAAAATGTTTTTACTTCTGAAGAGGATGAAGGATAAAAGCTGCTTGCTATATGTTGTGCCAAGTAATTCGAGAAATGCAACTTTGGTTTAATTTTTTTAAAAATGTTATTTACTCAGTTTTCCCCCTTTCTTCTAAAGGTGCTCTGACAGAATGCTATGATGAACTGGGAAACAGATACCAGCTTCCTGTCTACTGCCTTGCCCCACCCATCAACATGATAGAAGAGAAGGGTGACCTAGAGACTCTGGATTTTCCAGATCCACCGCCTAACTCCGGTCATGAATGCCAGCTTCGTTTACGTCTCTCAACAGGCAAAGACCTCAAACTTGTGGTCCGCAGTATGGACACTGTGTATCACATGAAGAGACGACTACACACAGTGGAAGGCGTAGAACCTAGAAGTCAGCGATGGTTTTTTTCAGGCCGGCCACTCGCAGACAAAATGAAACTGGAGGAACTGAAAATACCAAGGGATTATGTGGTGCAAGTAATTGTGAGCCAGCCCTTAACAAATCCTGTCTTGGTGGAGAACTGATTTTTGCCTATATGCCTCTTCTTTCTTTTCCCTGCTCTTCTATCATGTGGGGACTTTTTCACTTTCCATTCTCTCCTGCAAATGGTTTGGTTCCAAGCAAAGGCCAGCAAACACTCCATCTGTGATGGAATTTAGGTAAAAACATACATGAGCAAATATACGCACACACAAACCTTACGTATAAACACACAGTCCCTGTTCCTAAATTATCCTTGGAGGCTTTGTTCAATTTAGTATTTCTTGACACCACTCTTAACAAAGTAAATGGAAAAATGCTTGTGATAGAGTGAGCCTGAAATTCAAGGTTGATAATGCTAAAACTGTGCTTTGAACTGTAAGTGATGTATTGATCCATGAAGGTGAAAAGCACTTTTTAAAGGATTAAACCAAATGGAACTGTTTCATGAAATCAGTGTCACTTATAGTTCAGCTGATCATTGTAGCTCCCCTGGTTAATCTAGCATGCTGTGATAGTTGTAGGGGTTCTTTCTATTAGGGTTTTATTTACTGGCTCAATAAGACTCCTGCTTAATAGCGAGTAGCAAAGAACTAGAGGTACACTCCAATAATGGTATATTCTCAAATTCAGGTTTTACTACATTTTGGTACATTCCAATTTAGCAACAATTTGCTAGGGCTGACTTCAGGGTGTATAAATACTGCCGTCTGACAAATTAGGCAATAATTTATTAAATACATAATTTCTTGTCTACTGTAAGCTGTCCACTATAAGGAAACTTGCTGTACAAACCTCTGTCACCAATAAAAGGGCCTACCAATAATTCTACACTATTATGATAGATGAAAAATCAATTATTCAAAGTTTACCAGTTTGAAAATATTAAAGGCACAGGACATCTTTTATTTAATATGTTCAGCTCTGATGTTTAGAACAATAGTTTTGAATCTTCTTTACCCTCAAAAATAGCAATGAACTAATTAGGAAAAAAGCACAAGCTGGTTTCATACACTTTTCTAATAAGAGTTTGACTTGCTTGATAGCATTTTTACCCACTGATATTTGTATTTTCTTGCCATAATCAAGCCTGAGGTTTTTATTCCTACTCAGATTAAATATACATATGTATGTATGCGCACACACTCAGACACACATACACTGTCATTGTACACAGAATGAGAGAAAATTATGAGAAAGGATTGGAAAAAAAAACCCTCACTAGCAGGTGAAAATATTAATAGCCTGTATAGCACTAGATCTTTCCAATATACCATTAGACCCATAAGTACATTTTTGGGGATTCTGCATTGCATGTAGAATTACGTTATTTTCCCTGAATTCCTAAATAAGTTGTAGAGATGGAAGCTTGCATTAAGACTGGGTTAATTTAGTTTGTAAAAGCAGCATATATACCCCATAAACATTTAAATAAGAGAGCATCTTTCAAGTGCTCTTATCTTCCATGACACCTGTTCATACTTATGCATTTAACAGTGTATAAAGAGTGCCTGTGGCAAATAGATTATAACTTTTTATAGTTGATAGGTTTTAAATGATGTTGTCATTTATCTAGACCTCAATGTGAACCTTAGCAATATCATACAGGATTTTTCCCTTTAGAATCTGAAGGTAAGACATTCTTTAGGGGAGTAGGTACAGTATATCCTTTTAAGAGTGTTTTGAGCGACGTTAGTAATTATTCTCTCTAGAATAATAAATACATTGGAGAATGGCACTGATAAAATGTATCAGAACAATGGGCATATTCATTAAATATATTATTTTAAAGTGGGGCCTGTCTTTGGGTCTGCTCCTTGATTCTGATATGGTCATGTGCTTGATAGTAATGTCATTATTTCTGATATGTTTGCTGGCTAAATACCAAATCTAATTTATCTTTCTTTATGCACATGGACCTTACAGTTACAGAACTTCCAGTTTTAATTAAACTGATTTTTTAAAAAAAAGATACAATGTGCATTATCCCGATTTTTTCATTTGGAAATCAGTTTTTATATTTACATGAATGTATCATGCATCACAACTATAGAACTCTTCTGGTTGTTGTCTATTACTGTCTGATCTAGATTAGGGTCAGTTAATAATTAAAATGTTTTTTATAGAAATATTCCATAAACAATAACTGTTTTCAAATTGTTAAGTTTCCCATTTTCTGAAATTGTTGTTGGTGTCCCATTAATATTAAGAGCCCAACAGGCATTGAATGAATTCAAAATCCTGCATATCACTAGGGATATTTTTTAATATTGTGACTAAATGAAGCAAAGTCTGGATGTGCTTTAAGTGAAATTTAAATTTCTACAATGTTAGAATTTTCATTTATTTGGGCAGTGCCTGAATAAGGAATATGCACTACATGCTGTGCAAGTTGCAGGATTATACATCAGGAAAACTATGACAAAAATTATTATTTAGCACTTTTTATTTTTTTCCCAGGACTATTTAGAAAAGGAAGAAAAATTGCAGCTATTAAGGAAAAGGTGAAAGTATATATATGATGATTTTTGTAACTAGTACCCTTTTTATGTATTAACCAAGTTTATCAAATTAAGTTTCCTGATTGTCCCTCAGTGAATTATATTTACAGTACTATTGCCACAAACATGGGGATGGGGTGGTGGAATCAGCACAAAGGGAGTGAGCACCAGCTTCTTCCTGTCAACTGAATTAATAGGTAAATCGAAAGAGCCAAGGAACAGCCTCTGCTTCCTTTCCTTTTTCTCTTCATTGAGATAAGAGAGCTGTCCTGTTATTCAGAGAAGGAAGTTGATGCTTTTCAGTGTTGATGCATCAGAATTCAATTGTGGATCTTCAACAGCTGCCCAAGAATGCTGGCCAATATGATTATAGACCTTTTAGAATTACTGTAATAATTTTGTAAAAACAACATCTGGAATATAGTCAGCTGTAAAGCGCTCATCAGTAACCCTACTGCTCAGAAGTAATAACCATCAGAATGCATTAAAATGATTTCTGTGGGCTTTTATGAACAGAATGCACATTGGAACAATTTTTTTTAAGGCTCTGATCATTTTTCTCTAACATGCTTATAAAACAGCATGGAAGGCACATTGCAAAACATTCCCTGAAAAAATGAAGGATACCATTCTTACAATTAGAATACTTTGGAAGACAAAAACGAATTATAAAGTTAGAATTTGGTTAACGCCAACAAAAGATCAATTTGGGGCAGGTGCATGATAATTTAATTCTTCTTTTGCACTGATATAAGATCTATTCATAAATAAGGGATATTTAATATCTGGTTTAATTCATGCATATCATGAATAATTTTTACTTTGAATAGAAATTGTTTCTCAGAACAAAGGAAGAGTCTGGTGAGTCTATTGTTTCTTTTTCTGCTCCACAGAAGTTTATAATATATCATTACCACCATCATCCGACTCTTAAGAAATAATAAACCAACTACTATAGACTTTTAATGTTGTTAATCTGCAAGACAGAACAATTTCATTTGTTGCTTGAACAGAGGTTCAAGCAAGCACTGTGTTAAACTATATCTATATGTAGTCAAGATTCTGATTCACTGTCAGCTCAGTGTCTACAAAATGTGCCTCCCTTTTCACTCCTATGTAAGGTAGTATATCTTACAAAGATATAACACTTGGCCTAGTTATCAAAAGCAAATAAGAGTTTTCCCAATAGCCATATCAAATTCCCATAACATTTCTAATTAACATTCTTTTGCTGTTGAATTAGAGCTACAAATATATCCAATAGTAACTCTGTTTGAGCCCTTGTCTGGCAAAGGTGTCAGTACTATATGCTTCAGAGTTAATGGATAATTTATAATTTGCTTGTTCTGGAATAGTCTGAAAGACAGAAGCAGTGCTTGTACTGCATTGTGTACAACAACATAGCAACAAATTAATGTAAGATTAGACAATGTTCACTGTGCTTCACTATGCTGCAGAAAATGTTGTCAGTAATATTAAGGAAATGGTCATATAAAAATAATAATTATCTCATCTCTAAAGAGATGTTCAAAAATAATTTGATAAAAAAGTGTTAAAAATAAGTGATGGTAAATCCCTCCATTTTATTAATAGTATGGTTTCACAATTCATTACATAAATAATTAGGATTTATACATAGATGGTAAGAGCAATATATTTAGTTGGGAGATAATGTTTGTTTGATAACACATGATATAAACAACTGACAAGGTGCAGAAAAGTTTTTACAGAACTGCTTTCATTTTTTTAAACATTGAAACCCAAACATAAATTAATGCAACAGCTATGTGTATATGTGTACACACACAGACATGCACGCAGGTGCATTGGAAACATTGACATATTAGTGTTGATTTTTTTGCTTAATTTTGAATGTTATAATCATATACATCACTTTAAATTCTTGGATGTTCTAACACAAACACTCCTTACGTTTGTTTCATTTTTACATGATTGTGCATTCATAGTGTTTGCTTATGATTATGTGGAGCTTTCCTTGAAGTGCAGTTTCTTCATCAGTCTAGCAATGTGCTTCACTTACAAATGCCTCCCAAGTGTGCTTTAAAAATTCCATTTCTACCAAACAATATGTAAATAGCAGAAAGAAATGCTGTGCATGGGAGATACAAAAATGAACCAATCTACATTTCAACATTTTACGCAAAGCAAGAGTATATTAAACTAATACTAGCAATTTCTATTGGCTAGCATCCATGTTCACAAGATTAGTTGGCTGATTTTTAAAATAATGATGTAGCCATAAACTATTCATTCTTTAATTGAACTCTTTTGTTTCCTTCCATCTCATTTTGAGAGTGGAATATTGGAAGGCATATTGGTAGATGTATAGAACTAAAAAGTATAAAAGGGGTTGTTTTTTCTCCTTAGAACTTGCTTCATAGTTAATTTTGAACAACAGTGATGGGTTTCCACATGGCATTAATAATCCATGAAAAATTATGTTCATGCCTTCTGATTAAGGTCACGGGGTAAATATTTCTGGAAATAGTGCAGATGGTTTGCAAACCAGAACTATGCTGTTAAACAGAAGATCCAAATATTGCTTTTATGAAGACTAGTAAAAATGTATCTGTTTGAACCCTTTTTCTTTCCTGGTAGTTAAATCAAGCCAAAGATGGAAGTCAGCTTAAATTGTATTTTTGGTTTTTCTGATCTGAACTCAACAGATATACAAATCATTTCTGGGGCTTTAACTGAAATAATGAAATTGCCTTCTATCAAGGGCCTTCGTTGTGCCTCTCTTCTCCATATCCTGGGAATGTTAAGAAACTGGAGACAGCCTTTCGAGCAATTGTTCTCTAGGCAGCTGGCAGTGTATAATGACACTCTTTTTCTGATGTGCTGAGCAAAGGGCTCAAGTTTAATGTCCTCTTTGCCTCTTGGTAGTAGCTTCCAAAGATGGCTGGTACCATCAATTTGTATTTCTTGAATAAAATATCTTCTCTTTTTCTGGTAAATCCTTTTTTGTACACTGTTTGTTGTGTGCCATGTATCTAAGAAGCATTCGTGTTCTACATATGGTTAGTAATGCAGTACACAATTTAAGTGGCTAAAAAGAAAGTCAGAGGAATTACAGTGATGTGACACCTTCCTGTAGCTTTTATAAAATTAAAAAAAAAATAACTTTATGCATGGGTTGTATGAACCTTTTTTAAGAAGTTTTTTTTTTTTTCATTAGCCCAAGAATAAATTCTTGCTCTCTCTGACCACAGCTTATATTCATGCTGTATCTCTGTCACGGCAGTAGTCCTTGGCTACCGATTCTGACATCTCTGAGCACGAATAGTTCTATTTGAACAATGAAATGAAAAGTATAAATGAAACTTTTTGATTTCAAAAAGGTAAGAATATATTATAGAATGCTACGTGTTAAAAAGAAAAACGAAACGCCTTTTAGTTATTTTGGGGAGGGCTAAGCAATAAAGCTAATACAGGATATGTCTTGTTTTAAAATACAAGTTCTGTGTTCTTTCTCTCTCAAACTAGAGCTAAATTATTTAGTGATTATTTCTATCCTGCCTTGCTGGAGTCTAGGTCAGCAAATGCCCTTGTATATACAGTATTATTATAGCAAGGCACTGGTATGCCTAATTGAAAATTCTAAATCTGTTTAGAGCATTCAAAGTACTGGATACATAGTATCATTACTCCCTTATGTCATTTTTAGCTTCTACTCGAGAGTAGTAAGTTTATGAGTGGGAAGATTTTTGGTCCAAATGATCCCACAACCATTGATCATTTTTAGTCAGCAAATCCTTTGTTGCTAATTTGATTATAGAAGTGCCATGGTTATGTCCATGAATGAATATTTAATATATTTACCTTAAGATTTCTATTTTGCTTGCTTACTGTTGTTTTAGTCCACTTTTCTATTACCATCTTCCAAAACCTACCTTTTTTTCCTACGGATCATAAACCTATATCTGATGTTTTTTGGGTTTTATTTACCATGGTGTTTGTGAAATACTTCTTAAAAATCACACATATGAAAAAGTAATAAAGAGTTCAAAAAGTGACACTGCATTTTTTTTTAGGTATGTCCCCATCTTTGGAAGAAAAATAATTCAACTTTACTTCATATAAAAATGTGCCAAAAAGCCACAGCAGCTGCCAGCATGCATACTAATCAAAATGTATGTGTATTTCTAATGTTTTAGAAATATATTAAATATCTCAATGCAAAAATTCAGGACATAGTTTCAATACTATGATGGAAATTCAGGCTGACCATGACATTCTTCCCCCAAACGAAATGTAATTCAATACTCTCTATTCTAAAGAAATGGGAAAGTCCTTTTGCAATTAAAAAAAACAACACCTTTCTTTGAAAACTACTCATGTTTGAAAAGTTTATAATTTTCACTCTTGGACATACTAGTTTATTGCTATATAAGGTATCTCTATAAAAGGATAGGAATATCAATTGGAGCACTTTCCTTATGTGTGGTGCCCAGAATCTATTTATGTACCATGGATATTTGTAGAAGGCCACAATCTGCTCTTTTTAGACATGCTGTCAATCTAAATGAAGTCAAAGAAAGTCCTGCAAATATATAGTTGTGGATGTGGAAGATCAGGCAATGAATCAGTTGGAGAGAAACCTCATCCAACCCACCATCACTCAAAACTAGGCACGCACGCCCCTAACTACCTCAATTCCAACTACAACTGGCCTTAAATGCAAACTACTCAATGCAAGAAGCCTTGTGAATAAAATACCTGAATTTCTCCTCTTACTAAATACAGCTAAATTCAACATCATATTTGTCTGTGAAACATGGCTCAACGCATCTCTCCCCGACTCCATTACCTCAGTGAGAGACTATCATGTTTACCGATCAGATCGTGAAATCCGTAGAGGAGGTGGTGTTGGTATTTTCTATAAAAAGTCCTTACATCTAAAAAACATCCAAGTTACCCAGGAGCTTGCTCTTCCAGAGACCATCGTCTGTGAACTGTCCTTAAATATCACATTTCGATTCTTACTATGTTACAGAGTCCCTGATTATGACATCGAACATGTAAACAAGCTAAATTCACTACTAACATGGGCAACATCCTGCCCACACACTTTTATCTTTCTTGGTGACTTCTACCTCACATTAACTGGACCCTAAACAAATGTAAAACTGAACCCATACATGCAACCTTCTACAATGCTGTAACAATCCTGAGACTGGAACAACTAGTAACCAACAACACTAGACTAAACAACTGCCTCGATCTCATCTTCTGCCATAGTTTGAATTCAATTTACGGAATACAAATTAAAGAACCCTTTTCCAACAGTGACCACAGCATGATTGACTTGTCTCAACATACGTCCACACAAAAATCAACACAATGATGTGATCCCCAATTTTAACTTCAAAAAAGGCAACTATGATCTTATAGACAACGATCTCTCATCCCTTGATTGGCAATTTCTATTCACTGGATGCAATACTGTGGAAAACCATTACAACATATTTTTACTTGAAGTCAAAAGAGTCATCAAACTATATGTACCAATAACAATTCCAAAAACCAGAAAAAATCAGATTACCCATAACAATAAGGAAGCTTCAATCCAAAAAGAGATCACTTTGGCGGAAAAACAAATCTGGTCACATTGCCAACTTCAAAAGCTGATACAAAAATTTATGCCACCAGGTAAAGACTGAATGCACCAATTATCACATTAAACGAGGAAAACCTACGCACCAATTCCACCCGCGCTTTCTACAATTTTGTAAACAACAAACTAAAAGACTCAAGGTCCATCCCACTCCTGAAAGGACCTAATGGTAAAGACTGCAACGACGACACTATTAAAGCCAACCTCTTTAACACATTCTTTGGCTCAGTATTTGTAAACAGCAATGGATCATGCCCAGTATTTCCTAGTTGAACCACAGACAACTACAATGATCTAATACATATTGATTTTATAGTAGACAATGTTGAAAAAGCATTACGCAATCTAAAACCATCTCTATCTATTGGACCGGACGGAATATGTGCCTACTTCTTAAAAAAGCTATCCACTGCCATAGCCAAACCTCTAAGCATAATCTTTGAAAAATCTTTCAGGACCAGCTCCTTGCCAAAACTACGGTCACAAGCCACAGTCATCCCGATCTTCAAAAAGGGAGACCCCAGCCTAGTTGAAAATTACAGACCAATCTCTTTATGCTGCGTCACCTGTAAAGTCATGGAATCAATTATTAACCAATCCATTATCCTCCACTTAGAGACAAACAACCTACGCTCTAATAAACAATTTGGTTTCAGAAAAAAACTATCCTGCAATCTGCAACTTGTACACTGCAAAAACATATGGACTACACAACTCGATCAGGG